GGAGAGAGAGAGAGAGAGAGAGAGAGAGGAGAGAGAGAGCGCTCAGTCCAGGGTATTAATTAATGATGAATGCCACTCAGACATTTAAGCTTTAAGTCAGGAGCCCCAGGAAGCCAAGGGAAAGGTAGGAAGGGTCAATCATCTGCTGCGTAATGAGATGAAGGGTGAGAAGTGGGTGGGCTCTGAGCAGGTGGAGCTTTACTGACAACACTCCTCCCCTCTGCTTGGATAGACCCTGAGTAGCATTAAGATGAGAGTTACCCTAAATGTGTGTGCACATAAATTAAAGTCAGTATAGACTAGTGGTCGACAGGGTGAACTCTGGGGAAAGAGTGCAGTTTGCACATGGTTCCTTAACTTCCCTTGGCTGTGCACTTTAAATTTTCTGAAACTCTCTGTGTCTTTGTCTGTAAAAAAACAAAAAAAAAACAAAAAACAAAAAACCTGCTTCATGGGGTTACAAAGAGAATTAAAAGAGCTAAGATACATAATTTTATGTCACTTAATGATGGCCATATAATCTGAGACCTGCATCACTGGGGTTCCAGGTTCAGTGAGAGATCTTAATTCAAAGGATAAGATTAAGAGTGAAAGAGAAAGACCCGCAATCCTTGCTATCACACACATGTACACACATGTGCACATACAAGTAGTATACACACAAAATAAATAAAACCAAAAGAAAGAAAATGACTACGATGTCACTGAACAAGATAATTTCAAGGAACTACCACACCTGAAGTCCAAGGCTGACTAATATGCCTGTGCCCAGTACATGACCACTTATAGCTCTGACTAGCAGCAAGCGTCAATGGTCAAACCTGCAGACCACGCTCCCCTGAGGAATCTTCCAGTGCAGGAAGCCCTCTGTACTGTAGTCAACCTTATACTGGCCAAACTCTGCCACAGGATCAGTTTTCACCAAACCTTCCAATCCTACATGTGGGGAACGATGCTCAGCCAAGGTATTCATAGAATAGAAAACAATCTCTTCCACTCAAGATGAATCCTGCTAATTCAGGGAAAGCAATGACTAAACCTGTAAATGAATCTCTTTCATTAAATTATTTTTTTCATTTTTAAAAGATGTATGTTTATGTGTGTTTTGTCTGCATGTATATCAGTGCACCACAAGCTTGCTGGATGTCCACAGAGGCCAAACGAGGGCATCTGATCTCCTGGAACTGGAGATAAGCACAGTTGTGAGCTATCATGTCGGTGCTGGAAACAGAACCTAGGTCCTCTAGAAGAGCAGCAAGTGCTCGCAACTGCTGCGCCATCTCTCCTGCCCCCATTCACCACCTCCCTCACATCACCCTCCTAACTTCATGGCCTCTAAAAAACAGTAATTCACAAAATCAAATGTGTTATCTATATGCACACAAATGTGGGTCATTCACTGGAGCATGGGCAACCTACCAGTGGCTAACAGCCCCCCTCAAAGAAGAATGACTCATTCTCTGTCAACTGCCAAGGCCTCACTAGCTCCTCCCCAATCTATGCCAGAATTTTGTGCAGCTAACCATAGCTGCTGTGAGTTCACGTCATGCCCAGAAGACAGCACCTCACCGCACTCCTCCCCATCCTCTGGCTCTTATACTCTTTCTACCTCTGCTTCCATGATGTTCCTAGGCCTTGGCGGGAGAGTAGATACAGATGTCCTGTTCGGGGCTGAGCACTCACGGTCACTTATTCTCAGTATTTTAATATTATGAGTCTGCACTGACTGTTACAAAGAGCAGCTTCTCCAACAGACTGGGGTTGACAGCCTCCCAGGTCTATGGCTATACGCATACATATTTAGAAGGCAAGATCCAGGGAGTTGAGCAAAGATTAATAATTTAGGAAAGAGATTTATTTTATTTTATTTTAAGAGAAATTCTTGCCCAATGAAACACCCAATCTTCTATGGTATTGCTCAATAGTCCATGATACTAACTATGCCAACTCTATTTAAAACCACATTGAAATTTCCTGGTAGTCCCCTGCCAACAAAATCAACTTTTAAATCAATAATCTCCAAACACAGGGTTTCAAAAATATTCTCTGCTCTAAGAAGTCAGCAGTTTTCTTTACAAAGTAGAACATAATTCAAAATATAATTCAAAAACTAAAATCATAACAAAACATTTAAAAATTACTAAAAGGTGCTGTCTTGGACATAAATTTCATTGTCTTGGTGGAAATTCTGACAGCTTTCCAGGTGCATGCAAATAAATATTATTTATACTATCATGATTTGTTACAAGCTCCTAAAATAGTTCCCATGAGGGGAAAAATATTCCTAGATTATAACCAATTACAAATATTTTAATAACTCAAGTCAATTATCAAGTTTTTAGCTATTAGGACTAAGGGTAGTTACATATAGGGCAGAAAATAAATGGTAAATTTAGCAAATAAACTGAAAGAATAATCACGTCAATTGGAAAAGTGTAAAACTTAAAAATTGTCCCATGCAAACTCAGGCCAACAAAATCCAGCATAGAACTCAGGAAATGAACAGCAGACCTCGATCTTACCTGAAGAAATATTGGCAACTGGTTACTGCTAGGTGAGGAAGAGCTGATCTTCCTAAAACAAGGGTCTCTAGATAGGCTGACTAGACCTCAGTGGATGGACTTGCACTGGGGAACATCTGGGGACACTGACTTGACACAGTGGACCTTAACACAGATGACAGATTATAGGGGCTCCAGTCGGGGGGTTATGGGAGGGTGCCGGTGGGGATGATTCTTTGAGATATTCTGTATGAAATACACAAAAAGTCAATAAAAACAAATTTTTTTTAAAAAGTTAAAAATTGTGATAGATCATTTAAAAGTGCTGGGGAATGAGTTAGAACAGGTGAGCTGCCAACCAAGAGTAAACTAACTTTCGATTGCTTCTTGCCTTAGTTTTCCAGTTTCCATTTGCTACCTGCAATGCTCACTGGGTTGCTGGAAATACTGATCTTCAGACCACTTGGAACAATGAAGGCTGACACACAGTTCAGAAGTGGGGAAGACAGATATCTGTTCCATTGGGAAAACAATGAAAACTTTGGAAAAGAAAGAGGCTGTTGAGATACTGAAAAACTTAGCAACACCCAATCTTTTTAGAAATTTAGTCCACAGTAATTGCTTCCAGCCTCCTTCCAATTGGCAATCAAAAGGTAAGGAGCTACAGTGGAGTGATAATTTCAGGGATCTAACGGGTTTTCTGAACCAGATGGGGGTTACAGTGCTGCTTTGGTGGCCCTGAGTTTTGTCAACCTGCCCCATGGGGCAGCTGCAAGGACAGCGCTGCTTTTCCTGATGTCTCAGATGGGTCCTGGGTAATCCACAGAACCACCTCAAGGAAAGGGCTCCTCCTGCTCCCGTTAAGGCCTGTGATAGGGCATCTATGCAGTGTCCCAGAGCAGGCAAACCCTCATTCCATTCTTAGGTCATGGCATAGTTATGTTCTGGAAGTTCTAACAGAGATTCAACACGAAAAAGAATTGGCTTGCCACACTCATTAAAAATGAAATGCATGTCCTGTCAGTCCAACGCCCTGTGCTGGAAAGCTCAGGTCTTAAAAGGCTGCACTCACCAAAGCTGCTAGCTACTCATTGTCATGGGCAGACTAGTAAAAGTGCTTGGCTACCACCCCACAGAGCTGGCTGGGCTGTTAGAAAAACCAACTTTTGTACTGCTTTAAGCAAATGGGGGTGAGGGGGTAAGGTAAAGCAAGATGCCTGCCTCCTTTTTTCCTCCTCTGGGTGTGTGGTCCAGAGCTGATTTAGAAGTAAAGTAGTCAAGGATTATATTAAGAATTTGCTGCTGCATAACTTCAAGGGCAAATGGTAACATGTGCAGAGACCTTCCAAGACAGCCCAAATGTTCCTCTCTAAGGCTAACCTGTGCTGGGCCCCAGGGAAGAGCCAAACTGACCTCTAGGTCCTACTGAGCTCATGATAGGCACTATGCAAAGGAAGGCACTACCTTGGGCATAATGGCATCCTCTTCTGGGTCATTCGTCTACACAGAGAACACAGATCTGGTGATAGATATGGGGGAGCAAAGGCAGAGCCGGGCCCCTGGTCCTAGGTGCACTCTACCTCCTCGCTCTTGTCTGAAAGCTCTTTCCAATTGCCTCAGGGCTAGTAGCAGGAAGGAATTAAGAAAATCAAACAGATCCATAGTGGGGATTATGTGCAGGCACTCTGACAGGCACTCACTCCATGTAGCCCTGGCCTGTGTTCAGAATGTGCTCACCTTCAATGAAACTCATAGGCACCTGTAAAGAATGAGGCAGACTAAAAGGATCTTTTATAACATATGAAAGAAGGATTAATGAAGTGGTTAGCACCATGTCACTACTGTTAGCCTGTGGGGCATAGATAAGAATTCTGCTGTCTGGACAACTTATCTACATTCTTAACCTTAGCCTCCACATCTGTGAAATGGAGATAATCACAGGACCCCCTCACAGGGGAAAGCATCCAAGTCAAGCTACAGTCCGGGGTAACAGTCTTCCACAACCTGTGGTTTGATTACTGCTGGCTACACTATAGGGGAACATGTACAGAGACTTGGGAAAAAGGGGCTTTGTTACGCTGGGAAGGGGGAGAAAAGCTCATCGTGGTGTGTACAGTTAAGGCTAAAAAGTGAAACCCTGTCTCAGAAAATTGGTTTGATTACTGCTGGCTACACTATAGGGGAACATGTACAGAGACTTGGAAAAAAGGGATTTTGTTACGCTGGGAAGGGGGAGAAAAGCTCATCCTGGTGTGTACAGTTAAGGCTAAAAAGTGAAACCCTGTCTCAGAAAAAAAAGATGTATGGTCTTGGGCAAGTTAATTCACCCTTTCTTCATATGGATTCAGGATGGTAAGAGAGGCTGTTTCACAGAAGATGAGAGAGGATTAGTAAATTGATATACATAAGCCCCTCGGTGCACTTACACCACACTCAGGGCTACCTACCTGCAACTACCTGACAAACAAAGCACTGTTCTCAGACAGCCAAAGTCGGAAAGAAAAGGTTTTAAGTCCTGATACAGATGAATCAAGCAGGATTCAGCATCACTTCCGATCCCAGTGCAATTATTTTCATTTGTAGGGATACACTGTTTAACAAGGTTTTTTAAAATCCGGATTTGAACAGAGCTTGTTAAATTTTACAGGGCTTCCACATATATTTTTAACTCTGTGGAGACCAATGTTGCCAGCAGAGATGAGTACTGCACCTCTGGTTAGTCATTAGAATAATTTGTGTCTTGGCAGAGTTGTGTCCTATTGCAAAGGAAACCCTTTGAAAACCCTGACACTCCACACCCACAGCCAGCTTGCTGGACGCCAAAATGCTTCCGGTCCAGCGTTACTGACTTCATCATTTTTACAGCAGAGCCATTAAGCCTTGCAGGCATCTTGGTGTGTTAGGTGGTCAAAGGGGCACAGGTCCAATACTCTCCCTTAACTGGTACCTGGTCATGACTTCTGCATATTTTTGGCTGCTAAGGTTCTGGCAGATGCCTTTCCTGGCTATGAATTATTTTCCTGTTTGTCTTTCTGCTTAACCAAACACCTTCTTTGTCTCCAGCCAGGATCATATTCAGGGATAGTTCTCTCCAGCTTCAGAAAATCATGCCATATCTCTTGGACTCCAGAGCCACACTCTTCCCAAGGACAGGTTAGAAACAGGAAAGGGCTGTGGTGGCAACTGAAAATCACAAGACCAGGCCCAGAGCATCACGCAGAGGATCACAGAGGGACAGAGAGGGGAGAGGCCACAACACAACCAACCAGTCTCTGAGGGGCTTTTGCCCAATTCCCAAAGGGTTGTTCCACGTAAGGCAGCTAAACCTTTGCACTTGCAATTTTTTACATCCTGACTTGAATCATCGGCTTTCAATCCGAGGGATCAGTTCAAAAACATACAGGCTGATTCCTCATTTCTGGCAGGAAAGACTTTTATTTTTATCCTTAATGTCAAGAGTAGTTAAGTCAAGTAAAAAGAATGCCAGCATAGATAAATTAACTTTATAACATGGCACAAACCCATCCCCACATGATTCTTAGTGTCTTACATGTCATTTTCTTCATTGATTTTGTGTGTATATGTGTGGGCAGTGTTATACATGCTTGCATATGTGGAGCACATGTATGTGTAGGCATGTGGAGGACTGAAGTTACTGTCCTCAGTGATACTCTACTTCATCAAGGCATGGTTCCTTGCTATGTGGGACAGCGTCAGTTGTCAACTAGATGCACCTGGGAAGGGGGAATCACAACTGTGGGATTTTCTCTACTGGATTGGCCTGTGGGCATGTCTTGGAGGCATTTTCTTGATTGTTGAGTGATGTGGGAGGGTCCAGCCCACTGTGCATGGTGCCATCCCTAGGCAGGTGGTCCTGGGTTGTATAAGGAAGCAGGCTAAACACAGGCCACAGGGGCAACCCAGTAAGCAGCGTTCCTCCGTGGTCTCTGCTTCAGCTCCTGCCTCCAGGTTTCTGCCTCGAGTTCCTGCCTTGGCTTCCCTCAGTGATGGACCGTGAGCTGTAAAATGTAATAAATGTCTTCCTCCAAGTTGAGTTTGGTCAGAGTGTTTTCTCACAGCAATGGAGAAGCAATCTGGGACACATGCTGAACCTTGAGCTCACCGATTCCAGCTAGTCTAGGTAGCCAGCTTGCCCTGGGCATCCCCTATATCTGTGTCTTGAGCATTGGGATTACAGCCCAGCTTTTACATGGTTCTGGAGATCCAAACTCCAGTCCTTAGGTTTGCACATTTATCCCCTGAGACATCTCCCCAGACCCTCCTACTTGGTCTTCTTAAAGAAAGATCTATTAGTGGTTCTGCCAAGACCAGGTATCTAGCCTCATATATTACAGTTTTATCAGAAAAGAACAAAACCCAGATTCTTTTGTTTTAAAAAGGAGTTTTGTTTGCAATGCTGGCTAAATTTGCTCAGGCTTCAAACTCGTATTACATTCATGCTTAGAATGAGATGACAGGAGTCAAGCCCTGGATTTCTTTCTTCCTAGAAGAAACTCCAGGGCACCAGGAAACAGTGAAGGTTGTGGCTCTCGCTTCTCCATGCTCAGGGTCAACATTCTAATTCTGCACCATAAATACGAATGTCATGGGTGTCAGTGGGACCTGGCACTTAGCTTGATCTGGGAAGGAATGCAGAAACACACGAGCGTTCAGAGGCAGGGCAGTCTGCACTTGCAAAGCGCTATCTGTCTAACCAACAGCAGGTCAAAGCATAGAAAATGGCCAGTATGTGATTGGACCTTATAACCACCCAGGCTGACCTCTATGGACAGCAGAGAACTTGTCTGAGAATAAGCAAGGGAGGAGATGAGAAGTTCTTCATGTTTTAAATCGAGGGCTCTTGCTGTGTGTATGATGGGGAGGGCATGTACTCCTCACCACACCACATCATCACACCAGGCTGCTCATGGTGACATCCCATACTTCTGAGGTTCATCTGGTGGACGGTCTAGTGAAGGCCAGGAATTGCCACAGCATTTGGGGTTCTCGGGATTGACCCCAGGGCCTTGTACATGCTAGGCAAGTACTCTACCACTGAGCCATATGCTTTACAAGCCCAACCATGTAGCATTTAAAAACAGTAGTTTGTATTTCCTCTTTCTATATCCAACATATAGATTTTAAAGTATGAATGTTCTATTCGTGCTGCAGGGTGTGACTCCCCGCTACTCTCCATTTTGGGTGAGGATGGACACACTTTAAGAAAGCTGCTGCTACAATTTTCTGAACTGGTTGTTTGTTATCTGTAACAGGTGATCTAGGGATTTGCTGAGTTACTCATGTGAAGAAAAGCAAATGTTTATAAATCTGCCATTTAAGATTATTTGTAGAAATGACAAGCAATTTGACTTAGCAAGCACTGCGTTTTTAAGTTACCTGTTTCACATTTCTACTGGCTTTCATGATGCACAGATAGCCTCATTCACTGTCAGTCCAACAAAAGGTTCTAGCACTTACAAATACGCAAGGTGCATCCTGGAAGGTGAGTCCAAGGACAGCTACAGAATGACTGGGAAAATGAGATTTCCGAGCAAAGCCACAGAAAGCTCACAGCTGTTTGACGTTGGTATGCCATTTGGCTTCTTATAATTTGATAGACTAATACCCTAATAGTGATTGCTTGTCTTTCACCTCCACATCTGGAGCTGATCCACAGGTTTTGAGGGGAGATACACCTAACCAGTGCGCATGGGGACAGCAATTGTCACTAAGGGGCAGACAAGGCATTTCAGTCATTGGGTAGATTCCAGCAGATAAAATAGTTTCAGGGCTACAGAACTGGGGTACCATATATGTGTGTGTGTGTGTGTGTGTGTGTGTGTGTGTGTGTGTATTTTTTTTAAAGAAAAAAACTGATGTTTTCTCAATTTGTACAGAAAGGGCTCCTAGAAAAGCAATGACTACAGGAATAAAAGTATGTGATGATACTTTTCTTTTTCAATTTTCTTTTTAAATCATAGTACAGCATAGATGTAACATCTACCACTTTCCAATGTAAAATCCAGTGGCATTAAGTATATTTGTGAAGGCCCGAGCCATCATCCCTCTCCAGAACTTATTTCTCCTTGCAAAACTGAAACTCGGTACCCATTACACACTAATGTCTCCTTACCTGCGTCCCTTAGCGCCTGCCACCATCAGTCTACTCTGTCTCTGTAAATTTGACTATGGTGAATACCATACATGAATGAAACGATGCAACGTTTGTCTTTCTATGACTGGCTTATTCTCTTACTGTAATACCTTTTTAAAAATATATTTTTAAAATAAATTTATTCATTTATCTTTGTGTATGAGTGTTATGCCTGCATGTATGTAAGTGCACCCATGTCGTGTAATGCCCCACAGAAGAGGGCATCCTAACCCCTGGAGTTGGAGTGAAAGACAACTGTTAGCCACCATGTGGTGCTGGAATTTGAACCCAGGTCTTCTGCAAGAGCAGCCAGTGCTCTTAACCACTGAGCCATCTCTCCAGCCCTCTTTCAGTATATTATCTTCAAGGGTCATTTATGTTGTAATATTTGGCAATATATGATCATTTAACCCCTACAATTGTAGTATCAGGTATTGATTTCAGAGCTTGAGCAGGTATGTCCAATGTGTCACTTGAGGGCTGGCTGCATGCAGCTAAGGGGGACATCTATGAATGTGGCCCAACACAAAAACTGCAAAGTGACTTAAAATATAAGATTTTAATTTAGCCATTTTTCTAAGTTGATTATGCAGTTCTCGAGGGTGAACTGTCACAATGTCAAAAGGCTGAACAAGCCTGCAAGAGTTAGCATTAAGAAAGATAAAAAGGATTAGTACTTTGCAAACGTGTAATAAACTCCGAGAAATCTCTATCCCCAGAAGATAATAAAGGCTAAACAAACAAGTTCTTTCACTAAAATTAGATGAATTCCTAGGAAACAGATCCATACGAGACTATTTGCTGTGAGGAAACTGAAAACAGCATTCTAGCCTGCTTTGAGGTCAAGATGGTAAACAGCTAATTAGTGTCTGTTGTACAATGCTGTGCTCACCTGAGAGCTGCCTGGTCACCGGGTGTGGCTTCCTACTGGGCTGAGGGCCTTGCCAATCATGTCCACACCTGCTGGGCTTGGAGACTGCCTAGGTGTTTCAGGCTAGAGGAACCACATCAAAGGCTCAGCTCACTGGCAGTTCTGAAGGCCAAACACAGAGACAGTGACCATGCAGTACCCCAAAGAGTTCAGCCTGGAGGGTGAGGCAACTCTGCAATGACTATGGAGTCCTAGGTTGATCAGTCTTGGCTAGCTAACATGCTCAGGCCTACAAGACATAAACCCCCCTCTACAGTCTTCCTCAGGGACTGGCTGTGTTTCAAGCTGCAAAAGACTTGGGAATAGAAAGGATCTGGTCATTCAGGCCTGTAGAGTCAAAGGCCTCTGTTTAAAGAACCCTGAGGAAATTTATCCCAGATAAACTTCATGGGCTGAGCTTGGAGCAGAATAAGCCTGCGGGGGCAGGGATTACCAGCTTTCTTCTTGAGCCCAGTGTCTAAATGATAAACTCAGAGGGGTCTTTTCTATCTTCCACCTGCTTGTGATCCTGGAAAGAACATAATGTCACTTGTGGATGATGGTGACCATCCCCTTCCTTGCTCAGTAAAAGCACCCAGAGCAGAATGTTCTGAACAGGCAGAACCCACAAGGACTCCTAGAGAGAAAACCTTTTCTACCCTGGCATGGCCTACCTCCGGCATCCTCAGTTCCATGGTTTGCTGGCGGCCAGCAGACTGATTTGAGAGCTTCGGGGTAACCCCCAGCCTTGAGCTAAGCTGTACCAAGATACCCTGAAGTGATGGAGACTGCCTGCAGCTCTGCAGGGGACAGTTTATCTCTGGGCCAGCTTGGCTCCCTCTTAAAAGGAGCCTCTGCAGAGCCTTTGGGGTTTCTCTTTGATATGATTTACCAGACTCTTACCGGGAGCATCCTCTCCCAGATAACTCAGGGGAAGGCCAAAGAGGAATGAGTGTTACAGGAACAGAAGCAAAGAACCAGATAGAGAATCAGAAGACAGCCTGAGCAAACAGAGATGTCTCCAACTGCCCTGTCCACACACCCCTCCTTACTTCCTCAAGGAATCCTGGCCCGGCCAGTGGCTTATTCTCCATGTGAGAGAGGACAGGGAGGACAGGAAAGATTATATGAGAAGTAGTAACAGAGGTGTGGTGACAACCTGGGAGGTGAGCCCAGAGGATCAAGGGTTTAAGACCATCTTTGGTTACATAGTGAATTTGAGACTAGCCTGGGCTACATAAGATTAGAACTCTCCAGCAAGGAGAGTTCGAGGGTTAAACTAATGAAATCACAGCTTCAAAGGCACAAGGTACAGGTTTTATATACGAGGAATGTAAACGTGATCATGAACTATTTCAGACACACAAATATGAACTTTTGGAATGGATACAATGGTCTATTTTTCTTTCGTCTTAAAAGACACAGACGAGTGTGCTTGCATCATCCACAAGGTCTTCCCTGGAGTCCAGGTGACTTTCACAGTACAGCATAGCAGAAACTTGGCTGCAGAGAGGAACAAGTTTGTTACTGGGTGACACGATCTGTCTCACTTGGCAAAGCATCCTTTGTCTTAGTATCCCTGAAGTCAGGGTAGCCCAAAGCCTTTTTAAAACTTAAATCCCCCTGACTGGCAACCTCAGGTTAACTCTAACTCATCACCTTTCCAATAGCCCATTATTCCTCTACACAATAAGCAAATGGGCTTGCTCATTCTCAAAAAGCATAATTATGCTCCACTACCCAGGTTTCTCTGACCTTTTGACTGAGGTGAGTTTATTGCAACATACAGTATTTCAGTGCTTTCCCCCAATTTCTTGGCTACCAGCTCAAAAGCAAAGTTCCATTCAGAAGTCTGTCACATCAAAGAAAGATGCTAAGACATTATTGTTCTATCTAAATTGCAGCCTCTTGGTGCTGCTGACTGCCTCACTT